AATATTGTATACCCACAAGCATTGTGAAATTAAACATATTACAAACATGCACTTTTTCTTTTCTTTCTTTTCCATTTAACCAGACTGAGCCACAGCAACACGTGGCCGGGTACAGCTAGTGAGAAATATAGAAAAAGACATAAATATCTTCATTTTAAAGGAATTACAATGGCCAAAAATGCACCGGTTATGAGAATAATCTCATGCCCTATTGAACTGTGGCTAGTCTTGCTAAAAAGGATATGTTTCACCCGATGAACATCCATTCAACAAATCAGGAGACATGTACTGTATCCTTAATCCCAGGTAAGCCTTGAATGTAGAACTATGGCTCTATTTATCCCGCCATAAGGAAAGAGTTGTTGAGTGGTGTTTGATTGGATGCTTCCAGTAGAATATCCCCTTGTTCTATCAAAAGATGTACAAAAGTGTACCAATTACCACTTTACAATGCCTTGGTAAGGCCACACTTGGAATACTGCATTCAATTTTGGTCACCAAGATGTAAAAAAGATGTTGAGACTTAGAACACGGGTGTCAAACTCACCACGTCATGCGACGTGTCGCAATGTATCATGACTCTTTTTGCATTGCTGGCAATGGGGTGGGCGCGGCTTTGATATGATGCAACCGGCCCACGGGCCGGCAGTTTGACACCCCTGCTCTAGAAACATACAGAAAAGAGCAACAAAGATGATTAGGGGACTGCAGGCTAAAGCATATAAGGAACCGTTGCTGGAATTGGGTATGTCTAGTTTAATGAAGAGAAGGACGAGGGGGGACATGATAGCAGTGTTCTAATATCTCAGGGGTTGCCACAAAGAAGAGGGAGTCAAGCTATTCTCCAAAGCACCTGAAGGCAAGACAAGAAGCAACAGATGGAAACTAACCAAAGAGAGAAGCAACCTAGAACTAAGGAGAAATTTTCTGACAGAACAATTAATCAGTGGAACAACCTGCCTCCAGAAGCTGTGAATGCTCCAACACTGGAAGTTTTTAAGAAGAGACTGGACAGCCATTTGTCTGAAATGGTGTAGGGTTTCCTGCCTGAGCAGGGAGTTGGACTAGCTGACCTCCAAGGTCCCTTCCAACTTTATCATTACTACTACTACTAACTACTACTACTACTCTTTTTATACATAAAAATCAATGTCCGAACCCTCCAAAATTACGTGAATGAGTGATTACACATTACTAAACCGATTGAAAATATCAAGGGTAAACTGAATAATAAAGATTCAGAATCTGGATTTGAGAGGGTTCAGTGTACATTTGGCTCTGCTGTTACATAACCTGGCATCTCCAGTTTTTGAGCCATGCTGAGCTCAAAGTAGCAGAAAACTATGTCAAACAATCAGTAAAGCCATGCTAAACTCTACTGCAGGTCCATTTTAAAGGAGAAACATGGGTGAGATTTTACATATATCTATTAATGTAAAGAAAACATTTAAGAAAAGGAACATTCTTTATCTAAAAAGCCAATATTAAGATGCCAAAACTTTAAACGAATACTTTAGAATAAGAAACATTTTTCCATATTTAATCCAGAAATACTTTTTTTTTAAAAAGAGAACTTCCTTTCTTATTCTCCATATGATTTCTTGTCAGCCATAGAGTCAAGTAAATAATGTTCTAGACATCGGCATCCTCCATTCCTTATAGGTCAAGCCCTCAAGCCCACTCAATGGCTTACATGATGGGTAAATCAGATATTTTCAATCCTTCTCTGAATAACAGGCATCCCATGAGACAACAGAGTGAAAGTTCATTATAGATTCTTGACCCAAACAGCAGACCCCACAGTTAAAACAAAGAACCAACTGTAAAGCTTCCATCTACTGTACGTTCCTTGACAGAAAGGGCCTCTGTGGGAGGAGGGTGTCAAGCTAGCAAAAAAACATTGGGAGCATCACCTCCCTTGTTCTGCCTGCTGAGAAAGAGTAACAATGTTTGCTACACTGGTCCATCAAACTCTTGCACAAGGAAACTCCAAGAGCTTGAGTTCTCCAGCAGTGGACCATTAGGAATAGAATCTCAAGCAATACAGCAAATGATAGTTCTAACAGAATAACGAATGCAAGTTTGCATAATGCTAAATAGCTTGATTGAGAAAGCAAGGAAAGGAGCTATAGAAGAGTTTCCATTTTCTTCTTTGGAAAGATGTCATTTTACCATCTACACCAGTGTTTCTCAACCTTGACAATTTTAAGGCATGTGGACTTCAACTCCCAGAATTCCACAGCCAGCAATGCTGGCTGTGGAATTCTGGGAGTTGAAGTCCACATGCCTTAAAATTGTCAAGGTTGAGAAACACTGATCTACACAATGAGCCAAAGTTCAACAGGAGCAGTATTTCTTAATACAGAGACATGGAAACAGAAGCAATATTACTTAAATCAAATGTCCACAATGTATCATTTGGAAGCTATTGACATTCTTTTATGAAAGGCAGAAAAATGATATTTACATAGTTAATAGAGGAAAATTAGATTGTACATTTTTCAGGAAGCAAATTGATCTGCTGAAATGATTTTGTTTTGTATAAAATAACTTAATAAAATTCATTTGAAATCTTTTCTGTCATTCTCCATTTGTCTACCAATCCATGGAAGAGCAAGAGATAGCATTGTGCCAGTTTTACCCTGCACACTTATTTATAAATTCAAGGTACAGCTCATATTTCTAATCAACAGAAGCTCAAAGCAGCTAACAAAATAAAACAAACAATAGGACTAGAACCAGTTTTATAAATAAAATTAAAATGTACAGACAGGGACAGTAGGGGTTAAACATAATTCTGAAGGGTTTGCATCCATATTCAGAATACAATCATATCTGTGAAAGATGCATACATATGTACACATATATCACTCTGCTACAGTATGTTATCAGAAGCCCTAATCTCATACCTTACATTACATATTTAGTGCCATGTTTGCACGTGCATATAGCTGACTCCATTGCAAATATAATAAACATGTGGGTGCTAAAGACAGAATTAGTGCACACAGTCCCTTTTCTCCATCACCATAATATGTGGAAGAATATGACTGAAATGAGCTAGGTTGCCCAATAACATTTTTAAAACAAGGCAACTTTAGGGCCAAGCAGATTTTTTTTCACATCATTCTTTCATTTCAATTACAAACAAGAGCTCTAACTCCTCACCAGCATCTTTGATGAGGCTTGCAATATACTGTAGTTCTCATCATTTCAACAAAGGGGTAACAGTTCCCTTATATAAAGTCAAAGTTCTGTCTCTTTCAGGAAGATTCCAAGCAGTAGGCTTTTTCCTCCTTCCTTTCCTAAACTTTGACCCCTTCTGCACACAAACAAGACACTCTACCATTGGGCCATAGCCGAAGCATGCTGCAGACATGAAGAGTGTGCTTAGCTTTAAATAGAGCAAGTACTGGTCCAGTAAAACAGAAATGTTTAGTCTAACTTCTCAGAAGCTGTACCCTAAGGATCCACACATTTAAATTTAGACAGTCTGTGGTACAGAAATCTAAAATCCAGATGGCACTTACTCCCATGTTATGATTAGTATTATAAAACCCTTCTCTCTCCAGCACCCTTAAAAGACCTGGTTATTTCTTTGTATATACATTATGGGCACAATAGTATGCACAAATGTTTTTAAATCTTATGTTTTTCACGTTTTTTTCTTCCAAAGTGTTTTAAAGAAAAAAATGTACAGCACCATTAGCCACTGATAAAGGCACTAGACAAAAGTTAATGTTGACATTATTTCTATACATATATGTTTATATAAAGATGTGTATAAATATATAGCTTTGTATGTGAATAACACTGGAACATCCTTAGACTTTTTTTCCAGCTTAAACACTTATAATTCTGGGATAGAATAGCAATGAGAGTTGCACTGCTGAAGCCACTTACTTCCTCTGCATGCCATGGCAAGCTTATTGCTTTTGGAATTCCCTTCTCTTTTGTATAACATCAAGCAGTATGCAGCTCTACAGAAAGCAACATATAGCACAACCAAAGCCAAACATTTGCTTTTGTTACTGCAAGAACAAATTGCACAGAACTCAGCCCTTAACATCCTGTAACAGGAAGTGAAGCTGCCTCATTAACAACATTTGCAGGCTATTGCTCTCTAAAGAAAGGCCAACTATAATTCAGTTAACTTGCAAACAATTATAAATACGAAATTTAACTATCAGACTAAAAAACATATTAACTATGTAGGTTAGAGAAGAACATTTTGCAGGATTAAGTTCTACAATTTCACATTTTGAGGCCTAGGCCTTTTAGTTAATCATTTCTTTGCATGTTTTCATGAACACTCTGCCCTTCCTGCAAGTTTGCTACATATGCCACGTTTAAGGAGCACTATTTCAGTCACACATTTGAAAACTTTCCTATAATTATAGTCATCCAGAAAATCTTAACAAAGGCATATGTATTTTAAAAACGATCATATCAGCTCACAGATACAACTGCTAGTATATCCTGCTATTCTCTAACTTTGAAATTCAGAAAGAGGTCTACCTAATATAATGGCCTTTCTTCCCTCATTGCTCAGATTCACACAGAACAATCTTATACATGGCAAGAGACAAGAGGGAGGCTTACGACCACTGGATTCTCAACATAGGATTTAAAAATAATAATAATCTTCATTTCATTTACAATTGAACGTCCTTTATCTCTAGTCCAACGCAGTTTTATTGTCTTGATAGAATAGTTTATATCTTTCTGCACCCACCACCACGGCCCTCCTGCAGCTTGCTCAAGAAATGCTCCAGAATCAGATCCCACCCAGCGCTAAACAAATGGCCTACACATTATTTGGCTAGCTGCTAGCATGAAAAGAAATCCCCCTCTATACCATCCGAGCACACATTCATAAACACCCTAATATATTAATGCTACACGCGTGGCACACTTTGCACATTTAGCAGCACGTTTCGCCCGCTGGCAAAACGCCTGGTTTCCTGGAAGGCAGCTACAGGAAAAAGCGGTGGCATTACCGGTGGCCGTTCCAGAGCAGGCCTCTGCGTTACGGTCTCCAATCTGGCGGGCTGTGGGGTGGCAAAGAGCAGCAGCTCGGTGTCGTTCTCTCCTTCGGACGCGGGGAGCTGGTCTGGAGTGGAAATGATCACGATCTGCTGTTCCATCACATGGATGGCCTCTGCTCCCCTCAGCAAGGCTTCCAGGTCTGCCACATTCTGAGTTACTTCCAGCCCCTCCAGAGACATGGCACAAAGCGCTGGGACTCACATGCCCGAGAACTTGGAGGAAGGCAGGGTGGGGGCGGGGGGAGCCTGGGTTGGCCCCCCTCCACACACCGCAGGAAATCAAAACTGTCCCCCCCCCGTCTTGAGCCCCCCCACCCCGGAATCAAAGTCGCATCAGCGGACTCATGCCATCGTCCCGGCCGCTGCGGTGGAGGGAGACACCGGATGGCAGAGGCTGGTAGGATGGAACACGCCCCATCTTCTTTAAGAGCAGAAGCCCGGGAAATGGTGTCTAGAGGAATCGCATCCAGCCAAGGCCGTAAGTCGAAAGGCGAGAGCGAGGAGGGAGAGCACCAGGGCGGTAGTGCAGGACATCGGCGAGTCCTGTCTGGGCGCCGCTCGGGAGGGAAGGGGAATGGGGAGGAAAGGAAGGGAAAGGAAAGGAAAGGTGGGGGTTACAGTCAACAGCACATCGCAGGGCACTCTTCCACCCGCGCTCTCCGTGCCAGTGCCGACTTCCCAGCTGCCCAGCCTTGTTCCGCTCGGCTCTCTCCGAGATTCTCCCCGCCCCGGCCAAAATCCAACTGAAGCTTTTTTTTTTTTCCCGCGCGTCTTTCCACCAGCGAGTTCAGCCGATCCCCTCGGATCCGCTCGCTCTCAACTCAGGCACTGTTATTGTTCCCAGCTGGTCCCGGCCTCGCACACGTTTGCGCGCCAAATCCTTTTTGCCGCGAAAGCAACACGAGCAGGGTATCGTCGCTCCCATTGGCTGAGTCGGCCACATCAACATTCGGCTTTAGGGGAGAGTCGCCCCTTTATTGGTCGGCGCTCCAAGATTGATACCTTACGCCGCCCTCTCGTTGGTTACGATCGGGCGGCCGCCGAAGCGCAGCGGTGACGGCTCAAACGTTCTGACAGCCTTCCAATGACAGCGGCCCGGGTTGCGGAAGAGAGGAAGGAGGCTGACCAATCGGAGGAAAGATGCGGAGAGCATGTGAGAAAGGGAGGCGTTATTGTGGCGTGGGAGAGAGAGAGAGAGAGAGAGAGAGATCGATCTCGCAAGGGCGCGTTGTTGTATGTCTTGCCCTGTGAAAGTGGTGGCTTACTTATTACCGCTTGATCGTTTTACCGCCTGCAACGTAGCTCAAACCTAGGGTGCGTTTAAACAAAATTAATCCTCCCACCCGGATTTAGTAAGTAATAGTAAGATTTACTGTTAAGCAGAGACGCAGAACGTTAAATCTTTGCCGTGCCGTGTGAACTTGAAAGCGTTCGTGCCATTGCATCCGTTTTTTGTTTTTTTTTTAAGGCAAGATCGTGAATAGGTGCATTTGGGCTTAAAACGTTTCTGCATTCTTGTTCCGCTCACCTCAGTTCTGTTCCTCCTCTCCCATTCACTTTGTGTAGCCCAGGTAGGTGGCAGCACCTAGCCAGCAATGGAAGCTAAAAACACTAAGGAATAACAGACTTGGAAGGAATCTTGGATGTCTTCTAGTCCAATCCTTTGCTCGAGCAGGAGACCCTACCAGGGGTAGGCAACCTCGGCTCTTTTATGACTCATGGACTTCAGCTCCCAGAATTCCTGAGCCAGCTATGCTGGCTCAGGAATTCTGGGAGTTGAAGTCCATGAGTCATAAAAGAGCCGAGGTTGCCTACCCCTGCCCTATACCATTCCAGACAAGTGGCTGCCCAGTCTCCTTTTTAAAAGCCTCCAATGGTGGAGTACCCACAACTTCTGAAGGTCGGACCAAGTTAATTTACCCAAAGCTATACCTATAGACTAGACAGGGAAATAATAAAAACGAATCTATTCTTTATCGTTATCAGGAAAACTGTATAAACATCCTGAAATCAACTCAAAATAAACTTTCATCAGCATGCTGAATGTGAGCATGCATAAAAGTGTCTTTTACTACAAACATGCTTATTGCTAGGGACAGTAAGTTGGCGATTAGTTCAATTGAGTCTCTTTTTGGAAGGGGGAATTTTATTTCCTATTAAAGCTAAGTCTGTTGCTACTTCATTGAAATATATGCCTTGTACAGTATAAGAAATACAGGTGGCCCATTGCAGATCAGTTTTTTCACAGTAAGTTTGAATGCAATATTTTTCAATAGATTTAACTTACATATTCAAGAGATTATTGCAAACTATAGTGTGTGTAAATACCAAGTAATGTATATGAGTAGTACTGTATATAGGCAGCCAGACCATTTAAGCATAATTTACAGTTTACACTGACAAGCAACAGGGTTCAGACACTTTCACTAACCTTATTTTGAGAGGCCAGATTGAGGACCTTTGGACTTTTTATTAATTGAATATATACGCTATCAGAGAAATATCTTCTCTCAAATTCAGACACATAAGACACTTACATGTTGGAATTTACACATTGTCTATTCCTGGTTGTTTTTGAAGATCTTTTAAACGAAATGTTTATTTCCTGATAGGAGTATGTTGTTACTTTTTCTGTCTTTTAAACTTTAGCTTTTTGTTGTGTACATTGAAAACTTAGTTTTTACTAATACTGTATCCAGTGGAGTTTCACCTCAAATTTCTTAAGCTAAAATTTCAGAGACAGAAAAAGAAAAGATAACAGCATATTCCTATCTGGAAATAAACATTTGGCTTCAAAAATACACCCAGAAAATATGGTCAAGATTATGACGTTGCTTTATGTATCATCTAATGTGTGTTAGGTCGATAACCTATATTACAAAACAAATTTTTAAAAATCCAAGATTCTAAATGGTGAAGTGGCATTCTGACAGTGCCCTAAAGCAATTTCCTGTTGAGATAGTTTAGTGATATATTTTACTTTTATGCAAAAAGCATATCTGAAATTGGGAAACACTTCCTCCAGGTTACATTGGCTAATGCCTCTGAAGAAGAAAATAAGATCATTGCACCTGCACTGTACTACTTTTTGTTCCACATTTTTTTCTTCTAGTAGTACACTAATCTGATTAATAAGATGTAAGTATATCAGGATTAACATCTTGCTTTGCTAAAGGGAATTTGTGTGGTTCACTTGTATTTATTGCTGTATGAGATGCTTTCAAGAAACTGAATGAAATACAGTCTTACCACTATAACCCATGCCTAAAATGCTGTGCATTTTGAACATAGTGAATGAGAGAAAAAGATGTATGAACTGAGATAATTGTGTATTTAATAATTGGGTGATGGACTGAAATGTCAACTTTCCATGTAATAAAGTCAGACCAAATGATAACGCTTTATCTGTTGGATTTCTTATTTGTTTCAGATACAAACAACCTGCTGAAAAATTAGAATTCAAGTAACAGTTTCCTTTATTAGTATTACTCAAAAGAATAATTTTTCTAAGACTTTAGTCTTCAGAATACAAATCACATTATATAATAATACTTTTAATTGTTATCCATCAACTTCAAAAGCATTTGTAAGTATTTGTTTTATGTTCATACTTGAAATGTAGATATCCATAACATTATTTTAATCATGTTTTAATATTGCGGTTGGGTTAGTGTGCTGCTGATAAACTTGCAAATTTGCAAATCAAACTGAAACTTATTTTAAAAAAAGTTTCCTATGGTTCAATTTTATAAATGTTCCCTGACAATATAATATGGCAGGATTCTGTTGTTTGAAAAAGTCTAATAGCTGAACTGACAGCTTTAAAAGCAACATAAACAGGTTTTACTCTGATTAGATTTAACGAACTAGTATTTCTGGTTTACTTGTAAAACTCCATGTGTGTCATAAAAATTGAAAGTCTAAACCTGTATTGATGTTCTATCCAAAGAAGTCAATTTAGAATGTGTCATTTTCTGCTATAGATAAAAATAAAAATGAATTAAAAATTATGTTGTATTGTAATTCAGAACTGGAGAGCACTCGTTTGTTCAAACTAGAGCTGGGGATGTAAAAATCCAGATGAGTACTAAAAGGCAACTAAGAGATACAGAAAACTTACTTTTTGTTAGTATCTTGTAATTGCCTAGCATCTTGCAGCTTAGACCTGGTAACCTATCTGCTTCAGCATATAAAACAAACCAGGAAATAGACTCAATGAAGGAAACTGACAACTTTAAAACCATATAGCCGTTAATGAGTAATATATTTCCTATTCAGAATATGCCCTGAATATCTCTCTTGCTTTCTGTAATCTAAAAGAAGCCCCAACAAAAGGACATCACTGCATAAATAACATCAATATTAAATAGACAATATACTTTGCAAAGAAAGATGAAGAAATTCTGTTCATTCAGCAATGAAAACCTAGGGCTGGCTGTGGCTTAGCTCATGAATCTTTCTTTCAAAATCACAAACTAGTGCAAGCAAAATCAGACCTACAAGTTATGCCTCAACAGTATTCCACGCAATTATATAGTGAAGTTGAAGAACAGATTTAATAATTCAGCTTTGGTTAGAGTGCTTGAGGTTCCCTATACTGAAATTTGTTATGCCTTCAAAGATGAAGCCAACAAAAATATTCCAAAATGCAAAAAAGTAAACAAAGGAAAAACGTCTGCCTCCTGAAGAAAGGCAGAAAACAAAAGGCAAGGAAAACCAAAAAAACTTTGTCCAATTACTTGCTGAATTCCAGAGAAAAACAAAAGGAGACAAAGAGAAACGTTTAAATAATCAGTGGAATCAAACTGAATAGTTAAGAGCTTAATTTGATAAAATTGAAGAAACCAATTTGAAAGCAAAAACTTTGTCCTTTACACAGGCACAATAAAAGATAAAACAAGCAAAGATCTACTGGAGAAAGATGGAAAGGGATGATGCATGAATGATGATGTTTGCTGGCAGGGGTAGTCAACCTTGGCTCTTTTATGACTCGTGGACTTCAACTCCCAGAATTCCTGAGCCAAGATTGACTACCCCTGTTTGCTGGTATAACAAGCAAAGGAGTGGCCAAGAGTCTGATAATCCTCAATTTACATATTTCAGTACCAAAAATGGTAATGCTGAAGAATGCTCAGGCTATCCAGTAATTATCCTTATCTCACAGGCAGGTGAAATAATGC